ATCCCGGCCCGCCCCCGCCGCGCATGCGTGGCGGAGCCCCCGGGCGAGCGCGGCCCAGAGGGAGGAAGTGGGCGGGGCCGTGCGAGAGCTTGGCCAATGAGAAGCCCCCGCCGGCCTGTCCGCGGCCATATTGACAACTGGCAAAGCCCGGGGAAGCCGAGGGATGCGCTGTCTACGTGCGAGTGGGAAAGGCCGGAGGGAAGGAAGGGTTCCAAACCGCAGAGCGGGGCCTGGCGTCCGCCAATTCGGCTTCACAGTGGGCGGGAACAGGTCCACAGACCTCTGGGAAAGTCGCCTCTGGGGTGTCCAGGAGCTCGGGTGGGAGCGCGGAGGGCCGTGTGAGCATGCGCAATAGCCACGTTTTTTCCTTCGGCTTTCGTGTCTCACTTAGGGCGGGGTGGGTGGGTACACTGGCTGTTCTTGGTAAACCAGACCGTGCATTCCAGTAAGAAACTGCCTGAAGCTGTCCATGACCGGGTTTTGGCTGAATCAATGGCCCATTCTTGTGTGGTTGACCCGTGTGGGTTCAGGGCCTACACGTTGTCACATGCTAGCTGCTCCACCTCTGTGGTGTTACCTAACTCGGCAACCTCGTTGCCAAAATTCACTTCACTTAGTATTAAGGCAAAGTGAAAGCGTTAATACTTGGGACATGGCACTCATCTTAACAATATCACACATCATATATTTCTAAAGCAGCTACTTGGGATGTTGTGCTTATCGTCTAAACTAGTACAGTGCCGCCTTCCTGTGTCGTTTTTATGTTCATAAACATTGAATACATGTCCCGGTTGAGGCGCTTGAGGACATGCAATCTAGTGAAACGACCCTCACTTAAGCTGAGCTCATAAGCTAGTGAGGATCGCACAAATTTTAATTCCAATGATATGTGCATTTGGGAGCATTTAGCAAGGGCTTTCTTTACATCCTGCCTCCCATCTCTTCCACTCCCCACCTCCACCTCTGTCTAGTCCAAGAGTAGACAGTCTGGAAGGGAAAGGAGAAGCCAGTCCAATTCGAGTAGACTGGTAGGAACTGTGGCTCCCACCTCGCCTACAGAAGTATTTGGAGACTGAGTCCAGAATATTTTGTAAACTGTTCTTGGAATCAATCATCAGTTAAAACCTGTGCCTCTAATCAAAGTAGTACCAATAAGAATTAAGAAACAACAGATTTAGTTTGCATTGTGGGTACCAAATGCAAGGCTGGTTAGCGTCAAGTAATAAAGTATTTTGGCTTCAGCGAACTTAGCTAAGTGAAGCCTATGCGATCCTCCCGTTGAGCATAAGCAGAGACTGTCTCATAAGGCCTTAGTACACATCTTAGTATAAAACTTCCCATCATCTTCCAATGTCGCTTGTACTTTGTTTTATTTTATGCATATGGTGTTTTGCCTGCATGTATGGTATTTCTGTGTACCACATGCATGCTTGGTGCCCAGGAAAGCCAGAATAGAGTACTACATCCTCTGAACTGAAGTTAAAGATGTTAGCTATCATGTGGGTGCTAGAAACCAAATTCTTCTGCAAGAGTAGCCAGTGCTCTTACTGAGCTCTCTCTCCAATCTTCCTACCTCCCCCTCCTACAGGTTTGTTATATTTTCTTGTGCAATATTTGCAAGAACATTGAGGAAGCTCCAGGCTATTTTCCCTAGTGATACTTCCTCCCGCCCCCAGGAACTTGAAATAAATTAAAAATTACTGTGTGAGAATAGTAAAATACTTAAAACTACAATAACACTAGCTTTCAATTATTAAGGACATGCTATATGTCAGCCATTTCTTTGATTCTCAAAAAAATTCTGTATTAGGTATAATTACTCTTTTATAAATGAATTGTAGGCAGATTAAGCACTTTAGTAATGCCACAAAGCAGATATTTCAATGTAGGTATCTTTCTTACTAGTCTTTCATGTTAACAATAGGACACAGAAGAATAGGGAATCCATGTTGCTAGTGTGAAAAATATTTCCCAGGTATATACACATTCAACTATAACAACATATAAAAATGTAGTTCCCATTATAATGTTATTCAGTTTAAACCACACAAATAAAATTTGTGTTTCTTTAAGAGTATTAAACTTAGTGCTTATCATGTGAGAGACTCTGAGCTGCATTTTGTGTTTATGGACCAGTGTTCTTACGGCTGGCGAATATCCTAATTTTCAGCATTGTAGAACCCAGCTTCATTTCTGTCACAGCCTTTACAACTCCAACAATCAGACCTTGGATGCCTCAGGCTAATTTCATGTCAGATTGTCCCTTCTTGTTATCATGCTAATGTAGCAGCCGCATCCTGTGTGCTCACCATCTCGGCAGCCAGTGATGATTTTAAGTGCTCATGAGATTTCCTAATGGAATGTTTTGTCCACTTTGATTTGGGATTTTGCAATTCTGCAAGTCACAGTAGACCAGGACCGTGGAGAAGAGGCTCCATGGTCAAGTGCTGCCATCTGTTGTCCGTGTGCTCTGGCTGCATTTACTGCTTTGTCGTCGCTGGGATTGGGACTTGTCTGTCTTGTCATTTCAGTACCTGTGTGTGACATTGGTTTTCACGAAGCTTTAAAAAGACTGTGATATCTCTATTTTCAGTTGGATTGAAAGATACTTCCAATAACTCATCAATCATGCTGGTGTGATTTAAAATAACATCACTAAGACCAGCTCGGTTTTGTTTTGTCATGGTTGTTTCGAGACGAGGTTTTGCTGTGTATCTTTGGCTGGCCTGGATCTTGTTGTATAGACCAGGTTAGCCTAAAACTTCTAGCAATCTTCCTGTCTCTGCCTCACGATTGCTGGGATTCAGACATGAGCCACCACACACAGCTTGACAGTTTTGTTCATATTGAGTGTCACTACTAAAGACAGAGTGAGGCCCGAGGAAATTAGAGACAGAGGGAAGATGCTGATGGGTTCTTTGGTAGCTAGTTGGTAGCTGTGAAGTCAGTGAATGGTATAGATTTTTCTAGAGCACCCCCAACTCTAATGATGCTGGGAAGTCTATGGAAAACCTGCCTTGCACGGGATAGGGAGACTATCAGTTTTAACTCTCCTGTGTTCCAGGCTTTATCTTAAGTATCTCTTGTTCCTGTTAATTTCCCGTAACCCTGCCAGGAATAGAAAAAGAAATTAAGTACTTTAAAAAAAAACACACACACAATGAGAGAGTTCACTGCAAGTTCACGTTCTAAACAGTGAGAGTGGGGGCTGTGGAGATGGTTTACCAGGTCAGGGCAATGCTATCCAACCGTGAGCACCTGAGTTAAAATCCCAAGCATCCACATGAAAAAGCTGGGCCTGGTCTCATAAAACACACAGAGTAAGAAATAAGAAAATTATACCACTAACAAATGAAAAGCATGTTTTTCTCCCAGTCATAGCAAAATACATATATACATATTTATAAAGGCATAAGCTATTTCCAATATAACATGGTTTTGTTTGCTGAATGTCTTTAAATAAGATTCACCAGCCAAGAGAGTAAAAAAAAAAAAAAAAAAAAAAAAAACACTGTTTCTCAAGAAAATAGTGTTTCAAATGGAGTACATTTTCTTTTTTATATTTTTGGTTGAAAGAGTCTTACTAGCCGCTGTTCTCAAACTTGGGAACTAACAATCTTCTTCTCTCGGCTGTGTGGGCCTTGGGTGCTCCACACGAATGTATTTCTGGAAGATTTTTCAAGAGGTAGTTGTGAACTGACTGCAGGGTACCTTAATAAAGACCATGGCATCTTGATGTTCTTTCATACTCACACTCTTAGAAGGAGTTGGCTCTGTCATTGGGGTAGAGTGTGCTTAGATTTGTAAGAACTCAGGCTGCACTCTGGCCACTTACTGGAATTCTTTAGCGTGGGTCTCCGGACACTGCATCTCACACCAACTGATGGGAGCCATCTGGACATCTGATTCACTGTCTGCTACCACCATGCCTAACTCATTTTCAGCAGTGGTCAGCAGGTAATTGGACTGTGCATCACCAAGGGAGATAACTTTGGCCAAAACTATGTCACCTGAGCGGAAACTCTTGTAAATTTCAACCTCGGATTTTTCAGTTGCTCGGATATCTTCCTTGCGGATAGTTCCTCGAAAAGCATTTTTTAGTGGTGTGGACCCCACATACAAGATGTGTACCTTGGCAAAATGTGAGCTGAGGCTAGAGACCTTACAGGTGACAGCAGCGCCCACATCTGGAAGTAGCTGGGACTCTTGTTTCTCTCATCACAGACACAGGAAGCGTGCCCCGCCGTTCTTGCTGCTGGTCTCCCTCAGGCAACCGGCCAGCGATGAAAAGATGTAGCCGGTGCCCTGTGTAGGTGCCGCTACCGGGGTGCCTTCCTTCCTCCAAGTCACACAGACGTTCTCCAGGGATACAGAATCTCACAGGTGGTGCCATGCTTGTCCCTGTCCCAAACCCCGAAATTAAGTACTCTTGATAGTTGTAAACAGTTGTATGAAGAATAAAGAAATGCAAGGAAAGCTCGTTGCCATTTTACTTGAGCCACGTGGGAAAACCTCAGACTATTGTACTTATTTTCTCTATTACACAAAACTGCTACAATTTATAGTTTTAAAAATGTCATGCAAAAGAAGCATTTCTGGGTGGTTGGTTCAGCCTCATTCTTCCTCTGATCGTTTCTTTTAATATAAATGGGGAAACTGATGGTTGGCATATTCGAAAAACGTGAGAATTTTAGTGGAGTAATTTAGGATTAGCTCAGCCACTCTGCCTCCCTTCTTTCTCCTCGTGGGAATAGATGGA